AGGGATTGAGCCCACAGCCCAGGCATAAAAACATTTTAACTTATTTTTTTTAAAAAAAACAGTATATTTTACTGATTTTTTTACAGAGAGGAAGGGAGAGGGATAGAGAGTTAGAAACATCAATGAGAGAGAAACATCAATCAGCTGCCTCCTACACACCTCCTACTGGGGATGTGCCCGCAAACAAGGTACATGCCCTTGACCGGAATAGAACCTGGGACTTTTCAGTCCGCAGGCCGACGCTCTATCCACTGAGCCTAACCAGTTAGGGCTTAACTTCTTGACATTATAGAAACTTTTAAGTGAATGAACACATGGATGCCTCAATGCACAGTTATAAAATAGTATTTTACTAGGCATGTGATTGTTTAAATATATAGCAACATAAAACCTCACTTGCTATAGAGCTGCTGACTATGATGTAAAAATGAATAGCTGAACTAACATTTCTATCATCATGTGAAGGACATCACACCGCTAAACAGCATGGAGTTATTACAGGAATCCCTGACATTTGTCCTGGGTTGCAGGTTTGCTCCCACACCAGGAGCCGAATGGCTGCTGCAGGCGGCAACTCATCAGTATTTCTGTCTCTCTCTGAGAATGGCATGTCCTTGGGTGAGGAGTTAAAAAAGAAAAAGAAAAAAGCTATGACTTTTGAATAAGGTATATGTTGTAATTGGTAGTGGTAGGGAGGGGGTCTTCCTTTATTGCCTGTTAGGTCTTTTCTAAATATAATTTGAACCAATACTTAGACACCGAGTGGTGTCACCCATCCTAATATTTGTATCAAAAGAACATGCCAGCCCTAACCGGTTTGGCTCAGTGGATAGAGCTTCAGCCTCGGACTTAGGGCTCCCAGGTTCGATTCCGGTCAAGGGTATGTACCTTGGTGGCAGGCACATCCCCAATAGGGGGTGTGCAGGAGGCAGCTGATCGATGTTTCTCTGTCATCAATGTTTCTAACTCTATCCCTCTCCCTTCCTCTCTGTAAAAAAAAAAAAAAAAAAAATCAATAAAATATATTAGAAAAAATAAGAACATGCCAGGGCTGTTTCTTTTCCCTTTTTAATATTTATTTTTTTAAAAGTTTGTTAATTACAATGGACATTCAGCATGATATTTTCAGATGCACAACATGGTGATAAGGCATGTATATAACTTACAAAATGACCCCGAGGTATGTCCAGCACAGGGCTGTTTCTACTGATGGACAGGCTTCCTGCCTCAGACACTTAAATGAATGCAAATTCCCAGGTCACATCCCACACCCCCTACACCAGAAACTCCAGTACTGACTTGGGATCCAGGACTATGGGTTTAACCGCAGCCGGATGCACACCTCACGCTGACATTCTGTGAAACCCGAAATCCTGGATTACAGCCCCATCACCACCCTTGCAGTAGACCTCCTAATGGCATGGGTTCAGGATGAGCCCATGTCATTGATTCCAGACTTTTCCTGCCTTCACTTCAGTGGCCTTTTTCGAAGTCCCTACCCTCGTTGACAACTTAGGCTCCTCCCAGACATTCTCTCCTCTTGGTAATGGCCAGCCTCACACTGTATTGGTTTGTGAGAAATTTGTGTTCTTAAAAAAAACAAACAATAAAAAATAAAAATAAAAAAAAATTAAAAAATAATTTTAAAATACTGCTAACAAAAAAAACAAACAAACAAGCCCCGGCCGGCTGGGCTTAGTGGATAGAGCGTCAGCCTGCGGACTGAAGGGTCCCAGGTTTGATTCTGGCCAAGGGCACATTCCTGGGTTGTGGCCTTGATCCCCAGTGTGGGGTGTGCAGGAGGCAGCCACTCCATGATTCTCTCTCATCATTGATGTTTCTGACTCTCCTCCCTCTCTGAAATCAATAAGGAAATATATATATTTTTAAAAAGTGCTCAGTAATTTCTAGCTATTAAACAAACAAAAAAAATACATGCCTCAAGCCAACTATTTTCCAGCCAGAGGTATACGTGGGTGTCCGTTTACCAAATACATTAAATCAGTGGTTCTCAACCTTCCTTATGCCGCGACCCTTTAATACAGTTCCTCGTGTTGTGATGACCCCCAATTTCATTGTTACAAATTGAACATAATTAAAGCATAGTAATTAGAGGTTGAGAACCGCTGCATTAAATTGACCTTTTCTAGCAGGACCTCCTCCGCTGCGTACTGACCCCTGCCCCCCTAATTGCTCCTTTGGGAACGTGGTTTGTCATGTATATAAACTTATATATAAAGGGGAGAATAATACACTCCGCAGCTGTCGGACTTTTCTGCCCAGCCCTCAGAAAGCAACGTAGGTTGCACAGTGTTTGCACCGCGAAGCTCCAAAAATTTGACTTTTTTTTCCCCCCATCGAATGAGCGAAGTGCTGGGAATCGAGATGCTTTTAGCAACCAATACCGGCTCAGCGCCTTAACGCAGGCTCTGCCTTCTGTACGGCAACCAGGTGTCACCAATGGCGGCCCCCATGGCGGCGCCGCGACGTGGGCGCAGACATGTCGCTGCCAAACGCCTGTTCAAACGCCCGCGGTCCTCCTGGGCCACCGTAGACGGGGCGGCACCAGGACAAAAGTTGAAGCCATTCGCGGAAATACCACGGTCGCGCTCCCCTCATCGGGCTGGGCAAAAATTCAGGTTAGTCAGTGTGTGGTTTTGTCCCCAAAAGTTTTGAGTTTTTTTTTTGTCACAGCAAAAGTTTGGTTTCTCACAGGTGACGTGTGGGTGTGGTGTTGTGCGGAGCGTGGAATTATCACGGGATCGGAGGGGGAGGGTAGGAGGGGCGGGAGGATAGCTGAGGGGACCCGTGTAGGACCGGGATGTGAGGTATTTGAAGGGAAGCAGAGGCATCTGTCTGTGGTCAGGGTGCCCGCGGGGTCGGTGCCCAGATGAAGAATCTGTAGAGGTGACGCCCTTGTCCGGACTGTCAGGCTATGGGGTGCTGCGGGTCACCCCGCTTGTAAGAAGTGCAGGAGGCATTGAAGATGGTCGTGGAGTCAGGTTCAGGTTGGGGATTTCATACGCGGGTCAGTGATGTTGGGCCGGCGCGGGTGTCCACGCCTGGGACTGTCTGGCCTGCGTTTCCGATGAAGAAGGAAGTGTGAGCAGAGTCCGCGGTCCCGAGAGGCGGGCGAGGGGGAAGTTTTGCACGAGCAGGATCCCTGATGGAGAGAAACATCGATCAGCTGCCTCCTGCATACCCCCCACTGGGGATGTGCCCGCAACCAAGGTACATGCCCTTGACAGTAATTGAACCTGAGACCTTTCAGTCCACAGGCTGACGCTCTATCCACTAAGCCAAACAGGTTAGGGCTCCTTCTGTTTTTTAACCTTCAGTCCACTCATGACTGACTAGAGACCTAGGAACTAAACCAGCAGCGCCCCTGTGTCATGCATCCACTGTGGCACCTTTCGCGCTGCAAAGGCAGAATTGAGTTTGTGACACAGGCATTTAGGTCTGCAAATGGGAACATGCCCCTTTGTCTCTTTAAGAAAACGTTTGTCAACTTCTGCTCTCACCTCTTAATATATATCCATAGCAGCCCTAGCCGGTTTGGCTCAGTGGACAGAGTGTTGGCCTGTGGGTAGAAGGGTCCTGGGTTCGATTCTGGTAAAGGGCACATGCCTAGGTTGTGGGCTTGATCCCCAGTAGGGGACGTGCTGGAAGCAGCCAGCAGTGTTCCACTCTCACATCGATATTTCTTCCCTCTCCCTTCCTCTCTCTAAAACTAATTTTAAAATATATTGAAAAAAAAAAAAAAATGAACTTCCATGCAAGAGAAGGTGATTCTGAGGGTTTG